CTTCAGTTGATTTGCATCTCTCTGTGATGAGTGGCCTCCATGGCCATCTGTACATACTCAGAATTACTTCCTACAGAACAGGTTCTCAGAATTGGACTAGCTGGCCAAAGACCTGTTAACAAACGCACCCTCAAACTCTTTGCCCCCCGGTCCTCACCCACAGGCCCAGCCTACCCGGCTCCTGCTTCCCACTGTGGGGCCCTCCCGACCTGCATCGCAGGAGACCTGGGCTCAGGGTCCACAGGCAGCCAGCGTGGCCGGTGTCTGGGGATCCAGGTGGTGCTGGGCACAGCCCCAGGCGTGATGTGAGCCGGGCTGTGGCCTGTGTACAAGCCCGGCTCCTGGGAGCGAAGGGCTGAGGGCCCGGGCGAGGGGCCGCTGGCCTGGGAGGGCTCTGCTATCCCAGGGCCCTGAGCGCCCCCCCCAACCCTGGAAGGCAGTGCTGCCAGCTCCACAAAGACAGGAGCCCGGGGTTTGTCCATGGAGCTTCCTCTGTTCCTGAGTGAGACACCCTCCCCGAGCCACACACTGCCTTTCTGCTCTCACACACTCTGCTCAGGCCTCTCTCCCTCTGTCTCTCTGTGTCTCCATTATCTCTGTCTCTCCCTCTGTCTATCTCTCTCTCTCCCTCCCTCTGTCTCTTTGTCTCTCCCTCTGTCTGTCCCATCCTCTCTCTCTCTCTAATGCCCCAGGTCGTAGTCCATTTCTGAAGCTAGGCCCTTCCTCTTCCTCAGGGAAGCCCCCAGGCTGGGAGGGAGCCCCCTTCCCTCCACACCTGTGCCCACCTGAGCCTCCAGTCCTCCCTCCAGGGCTGCTGGTGCTGAGTGTGAGGGGTGCCCTCCCTGAGGGCAGGACCGCCCTGTGCTGCTCTGGGTCCCCACACCCAGCTCGGACTGCACACCCGTGGGCCCTCGGACCCAGGCTCAGCCACGTGGCTGCCCAGGAGCACAGAGCCCTCTCTGTCCGAGTCGACATGCCCCGTCCCCTGTGAACTCCCTTTGCTGGGCTCCGGAGCTCCAGGAGGGGGCCGGACAGGCCTGGAGGGAAGCAGGCCCCCTTCTCTGAGGGTGAGTCCAGGCCCTTGTCAATGAGCCACAATTGCACCCACCAAGGCCCCAACCCTCAGCCCCTGGCCTGGGCCACCTGACTATTACAAGTTACCAGCCCAGGTGCACTGAGGGCACCAGGCACCCACGAACAGCAGATCATGGGCAAGGAGGACCATCCCTGCACCCGTGCACGTGTGTGTGTGTGTGCCCACACCTGCATGACCTTGGCCCTGAACCCGCCTGGAAAGGGGAGCTATGCATGTGACTGTGTATGTGAGTGTCTGTGTGCCCTCACCTGCATGACCTTGGCCCTGAGCCTGGCTGGAATGCAGCTATCCTGGCCCCAGGTATCCTGCCTGGAGGGAGGGGCAGAGGGAGGGGAGGAGAAGGGAACCATCCACAGGCAGCTGCCAGTCCGGCTCCCGGATGTCTCCCGGATGTCTCCCACCCCATAAATACCCCTCTCACAGGCAGGGCCACCAAGACAGGCACACGCACCATGGGGCGCCTGGAGCTGGCTGTCTTAGGCCTCGCCTGCTGCTTGGCAGTAGTGAGCGCCGCAAAGGTAAGCGAGAGCCCAGCGGGCGAGGAGGGGCCCCTGTCTGCTCCCCTAACCCGGCCTGGGAACTGGGTCGGGCACCTCAGGTGGGAGGTAGGGAGGGTAGAGGGTGAAGGGGGGCAGGCAGGTGAGGCGCTGGCAGGAGGAGCCCCCGAGAGCCCACACCCAGCAGGCACTTTCCTGGCCCTTCCTCTGCTCCTGCATCCGCACTCACACGACGGTGCAGACGCAGCTCAAATACAGGACGCCCGCGAACTTGAACGTCAGAAACCACGAATAAGTTCTGTCAGGGGATGGCCATGGCCCCGCACATAAGGGAGCTGGGCCCTGAGCAGGCCAGCAGGTTGCCCATTACAGCACCAGTGTCGGAACAGGAGTGTGGACCTTGATCTATTTAACCTGCAGCCCGGTCCCCGGTCCCCAGTCCCCGAGAGGGGGCAACACCTACCTGCTTGCCAGTGGCCGGGACCCCTCCAGGGTCACTCAGGAGCCTGGGGGCAGCTACAGGGTCTCCTTCCTCAGGGCCCTGCCATGGGGTGAGGAGCGGGGCTTCCACAGGAACCCACAGCTACAGGCGGGTGAGACTAGGGGCCCCACCTGGAAGCTGTCCTGGACCCTAGAGCC